CTGTTTGCTCCCCGTCCCCCTGGTCTGCAGACCAGGGGGACGGGGAGCAAAGCGGCGGAACATGCGGGCAGCAGACAGCCCAGACGTGTCTGGGCTGTCCGCTGCCCGCGTGCTCCGCCGCTTTGCTTCCTCTCTCTGGTCTGCTGGAGTCCAGGGAGACGGCCCCGTTCGTAACTGCGGATCTGACATAAGTCGGATCCGCGTAACTCGGGGACTCCCTGTAGTAATATTTTTTTCCTCCCTGGGTTAATGTTTACACAAAACAAGGGAAACTGACTCACTGACTACTGCTAATATTTAGGCATATGAGTAACTTTTTTTCACATGAGTAGGCAGTTGAGATCAAAGTGATTATTCATGAGCAAAAAGTTACTCATCACATAAGTGTGTCAGGAATATAATAAGAGGGGAAAACCCTGTTAGCTACAACAGCTTTGAATCAAGGCCTAAATGAATAAAGGAGTAACAATGAAATTGACTACACACAACAAGTGCTATCAAATGAATAAAAAAAGAAACTCGTGTGGGGAAATCTTTTTTTCATTTAACTTAATACAGTATTCAGACAGAAGTATAATTTTAAATAGGCAGTTTCATTTACAATAATTTATATAGGAGCTTAAAATAGAACTGCCATCTCAAGCATAAGCACAGTATTAGTATTAGTATTTTATTATTATAACAATAAAATACAGATCAGATTTATTGCAAGACAATGTCAATTTCTGAATGGGAACTGAGAAGCAGGTTTTCTATTTTATAGATGAGAGATCATTTCACCACTAGAGGTTCCACATGATCCATACATGTTTCTGTGACATCTAAGGATATGTCTAGACTGTGTTGCTCTTTTGGGATACCGGAAGTATCCTGAAATAGCAATGCATGTCTTTATTTCCTGAAATAGCAGGCATGCTATTCTGGTGTCTCTGTAACCCTTATTCCACGAGGGCTAAGGGATTTGTCAGAATAGTGCCTCATTTTGAAATTTGGCGCTGTGATTTAGACTCAGAATAAGCTACGCAATTTGAGTAGCACAAATTGAGTAGCTTATTCCAACAGAAGGGTGCTCTCTAGATGCATCCTAAGTCTCAATGTCCATCTCTTCTTCCTGGCTTGTGGTGCTGTTCAACTCAAACTGAAAACTTTAT